AAATAATCAGTTAAAATATGCAAGTAAGCAGTATGCTACTCTAACAACCTATGTGAAAATTCATGTAATGTATTCTGCTAACAACCGTAACAGTGACCCAGCAGATATTGCTATCCACATATATAATATATCATTTTTATAGTTATACAAAGTCTCAGGTACAGATAAACTGGAGACAAAAAGTTAAGAACGAAACCTTTGCAGAGTTTTCAGGGGTTGGGATACAGTTCTTTGCTTTGTCTCCATTGACAAGGTAGTGGATGAAATACAAAAAATAGCCTCACCCCTCTCCCACCCACCTATAAAAAGAAAAGAAAATGTTGGGCACATTCACAGTTCATGGCTGAGTCATCTCAAATGGCATGTACTGCTCTACCCATTCAAATAAGTTTTTGTTGTCAGTGTATTTAAACATTGCCCAAGCAAACCAGTTTTATACCTAATAATGTTGTTTTAAGTCCAATATATCTTTAAGCTATACATATAGCATTTAAAGGTCAAAACCCCCTCCTTGCGTCTTACTGCCTTGAACACTATTGACTTTTATTCATGGTCTTGTAGCCTATACCAGTTATGTTATGTTGGGAGGTGTTTAAAGTGGCTGCAATAAAATTTGTATTTTGATTAATAGACAGTTGCAGTCCTCATTAAAGCTGGTGGATGTGGTGCCTACTCTTCATTCAAATTGAAATAGTAGAAGCAATAAAGGTTATTTCTGTCTTAAGATTGCTAGAGTCAAAGGAAGCCACCATTCAGGGCACTAAATTGCATACCAGGCCAGTTGAGCATATAGACCAAAGGGTTTTCCTGGGAACTTTATTACAAATGCTGGGCCTGGGATCACCCAGGATGGTTGGGTGTATGCTATTTGAAGACAGAAAGCAACTAGAAAGCAAGAGAGAGCAAACAGTAATGGACAGAGTTGTCAGCATGATCTTGAGAGGGAGCAGAGACCGTGGGGCACAGGAGCTGTTGGAAAGTTTGAAAATGGTGAGTCAGGAAGTTGTGTGCTGCTGCTGTTTCTACTGTGTCCAGGCCTTCATATACTTTTCTAGTAAACACACAGAACCGCACCAAAGACTACATCTCACCTTTAATACTAACATTTTCCTGCTAATGGCTAGTGAAGGCTCAAAACTACTCTACCTCAATGGTTCTTAACTAGGGTGACTCAAGACCCTTTCAGGGGTGCTGACATGGGCACCATTGAGGCAGTGGCTAACTGGAACTCCCCCCATGCACTTCATGCAGCGCTGTGCCTAGATTCAGGGTGGCCCTGGGTGAACTTTTAGTGGCCCCTTTTGTCAGAGATAATGATAATAATAACCAGGCAACGGAAACAAAATTACCATTTTCGGTCCCCCTTTCTGTCCAGGTCCCAGGCAGCAGCCAGTTCACCCATGCCTGTGTCCAGCCCTGACTTCATGTACAGTCAGATCAGAGGGCTGCAAATGAGTGTGAACTCATGCCTGCATTAGGGTTATCTGACAAACCTAAAGTTGGCAGGATCACCTGGTCATGTCACAACCCTTCCTGGTCTGACTTTGCATGGCATCTCTTGGAAACAGAGGTGTGTGGGGCAGGTAAAACTCCAGTGTGGGGAGGAGCATGCGGGGGCTGCAGTGGAAAGGGTTGCAGCCAGGTATGGATGTTCCTGCCTACTTTAGGTGTATTGGATAACCCTAATGCAGGCAGGAGCATGAGGACATGGCACAGCTCTTCCTGATCAAGAGGTGCACAGAGTCCTCATGTGGTGGTGGTGGTGGCAACAGCAAGCTGGGTGAGAACCACTACGGTAAGCTGAGGCAACATGACAGTGGTTCTCAACCAGAGTGCTGTCAAATTCAGAAAAGTTTTGAAGGGGTGTCCTGAATCTAAAAAGGCTAAGAGCCACTGCTCTAACTACCTGACCAAAGGGGCAGGCAGGAGACAAGCAATTAACAGTATATGGACACAGGATACTAGTTAAGAGGCTCATAGCATTGGTGGCTGGAATGTTTGTGGGTGCTTGTACATGTGACGGGGTTATAGTCCTAAGGGTTTTATTCTATGCCCCCTAAATTGAAAAGGTGGGTTTTTAGTTGAAACCTACCATTTCAATTTTCCTGTCATATTGTGGCAAGGGGCCTGATCCTTTACTTATTTATTTTTTGTTGTAACTGGAACCTGTCTGTGGCTGGGGATGGGGTGAACTGCCAGTGGGCCAAGTGGCCCCTGACCTGCAGGGAACCCCAGTCCTTCCCTTTGCACCAACAGTGCCCCCTGGGGTGCCTGGGTGTGCTTCTAGTGGGTGGGGTGCTGCCTCAGCTCAGAGGCAGCACCCAGCCTGATCCAGCTGTTCCCCTGAACCCTCCTGGGGAGCAGTACCTGGTAGGTTTCCAGTGGGGGGGCTCAAGGAAGACTTGGATGAGGCTGGGTGCTGCCTCCGAACTGGGGCAGCACCTGGCCTGCTAGCAGCCTGCCTGGGCAGCCCCAAGGGGCACTGCTGCTTCAGAGGGAAGGCTGCTTGGCCCGCTGGTAGCTCACCCCTAGTTGCGGGAGATGCGGGCAGACCCTTTGCTGCTTCTGTCTTCAGCAGGCGCCTGCTAGCAGGACAGCTGGGGCTGCCCAGGAAGTGGCTGGGCTACCCCTGGGGTAGCGCAGGAAGGTGGCAGGAGGGTGGTGGCGGCCAGAGAAGATGGTGGGGATGGTGCATGGAGCTCTGGAAGCCCAGGTGGGCTTGGTGAAGCATTGAATCAGGTGCCTCCAAGCTGGGGCAGCACCCGGCCAGCCAGCAGCCCACCTGGACTTCCAGCATCCTGTGCACCATCCCTGTCACCTTCTCCTGTCACCAGCAATCTCAGCTGCCCTCCTGCTACCTTATCACACTGCCCTAGGGTCAAGCCAGCCCTTCCTGGGTGATCCCAGGTGTCCTGCTGGCTGCAGGAGCCTGCTAAAGCAGAAGCGGTGAGGGGTCCAATCCTTTTCAGTGGAGCCTGCCCACCTCTCCCACAGCCAGGGGGTGAGCTGACAGCTTCATCGTTACAATCTGCAACGTTGCAAACTCATTTGCAAACCTGCAAAACTCTTCCACATGTACAACACGACGGCATTAAGCCACACAATTTTGGTAACATGTTCACGGTAATGATGTCACATGTACAAACGCCCTGTGAGACCAGGTATCCAAACCCTGCACTGACCACAAGATGATTAAAGAGAGGGGTTGGCCCATTTCTGCCACACCTGGCCTGCTGTTAGGCCTAGGAAGTAGGTTTCAAAGGACAGGAAGGGTCTAGAAATAGAGAGAAAAAAAAGCAAATGGTGGCTTCTGTGTGGAAGAAGAATCTTGGCAGGATCTAAGAGTTGTCTGGACACTGATCCTTACCCAAGCCCCTTGGAGAGGGTGAATGGGTCTAGTACAGTGTGGTGTTTGATTGGCTACTGGGCAGCACCATCACAGGCAGGGCTTCCACTTGTAGGGAAGAGGCCTGGAAATGACACTGGCTGGCCCGTTGCACTGTTTGCCTTGCAGGGGTTTTTCTTTGTATATTTTGTTTGTGGAATTTGATTAGCAGATTCTATTCCCTCCTGAAAAGGGACTGAACTCTCTTGGGCAGTGAGGCCAGAGGCCTGATATAAAGTGTGCCCTGTCTGGATGTCATTGTATGTTTCACCGTGCCATACCTGCCACTAACAGTTGTGTAACAGCTGGGAGACTGAGTATAATTACAGCTGAATGTGTTTCCATGAACTCTGAACTAGTGCCATATGCAGGATGTATAGTGCAGAGTGTATGCCAGACTTTGAGCTGTGTTTTCCAGAGTCTTTTTTCCTTCCCCTCCCTCAAGAAAGCTCCAAGAATCTTTCGTGACTCGTAATGCGGTGATCATTGCTATTACTAATGCCCCTGCCATGCTTAGGATTTTGGGACTGAGGCCATGTACATTTTTGCTGAAACAAAATGGTGGCAGTGTTAACACACACAAATCAGAGAAAATTAGAGTGGAAAGGGACCTCAGGAAGTCATCTAGTTCAACCCCCAGCTCAACTGAAGAACAATATATCCCAAGATTCCCTGGAGTATAACCTTGCTGTGGTTTGCAGTCCCATTGGGTTTGTCTGAAAACCAGCAGGGAGTTGCAAGCTCTGAAAATTTCCAAAAGTTGCATCCTTTTTTATGTATCTGTCTACCTATGAATTTAAGAATTTGGCGTAAACATGGGGTGGGGAGATGATTTCGGTCAGCAAAGAGCAGTGAGACACCTACTCACTGCGCATAATTATAAGGGGAATGTCCACCTTCTGTCCCTATGTTTGAGCACCTTTCCCTTAGGTTTTTTTTTGCTGGCAGCTGTGCAAATGGTGATAATTCCTGGAAAAATGGTGCTAACAATTCCTGTGGTTTTTTTTAATTTTTTTTTTTATAAAATGAGCCTACAAAACCTTTTCATTTAAGTTTTGTCTTTAATGAGTAAAACATTATTGGTTAATAGTTATAGCTTTAGAAAAAAAAAACCCTTCAATGTATATTTTTAATTCCTGAACTGTTTAAGATGGTTTATCTGAAATAATCCCATTTCTATGGCAAGTATAAGGGGCATCATTTGGTTATGAGAGTCTTTTTCTTTTTGTCCATACCCCCACTCTTGAGAGAAAAACTGAAGCGATTTTTTAAAACCATGGTATCGTTACTAATGTCTCCATAATATGGTATTCACGTGCATCTTTACTGATGTCTCCATAATATAGTATTCACGTGTAACTTTACAGGAAAAAAGGATGCCCATACAATGTGATGTTTTGGTTACTAGTGCTTCTTGTTTACCCATTCTTCACCTGTGCACCAAATGTGAATGTGTAGGACTTTGTTTCGTCTTATTCCGTCAGATGGATCCATGTTGATATGTACACAGTAAGCCGCCTACTTCCCCACTGAATGCCGAGTCATTTGAATGTTATGAAAACTCAAGGTGTTATCTGAGCAGATCCCTAAATATAAGCATTTCTTTTCGTTACAGCAGCATAAAAACGAAGTGTTAGGAGCTGCTCTTAACCCTTTTGGAGTCCGAAGTCGAAAGGTAACATCACTCAACATTTTCTGGGTATTTTAAGGGTATGCACTGTAATTGTTTGTAAATACTGTTTACTTGTTATGCTCAGGCTGAGACTTTTAAAGAGCTGGCAAGTAAGGACTTGGCAGAACAGTGGGGGGTGGAGGGCGGAAGAACAATCTAAACATTACAAGAACTTTTTAAAGACCATCAGTAAATTCAGGCTGAAATTATGCAAATTACAAACTGGAAACCACTAGGAACAATAACATCTAATTTACTGAATTCAAGAATGTGGACATTAAGAGCTCACTGGGATTTTTCAGAGGTACTTAATATTGATCGGGGAACCATCATTTTTCTCATTATGATTTGATAAAGTTTTTGATACATTATGTTTTACCAAGTCAGGAGACAGGCCCTGTATCTCTTTTTCTAGCAAAGAGCCCTTCAGTGGGAATTTTGCCTGAGTAAGGATAGGAAAAGGGTCAAAACAATTATCACTTAAATATTCAGTTATTTTGCTACTCCATGGTATAAAACAGTGGGTATATTAAAAACAGCAAATCTTCCTATTCTATAAAATGGTAGCTGCTCAACACAGTACAGTTTAACATTTTCTGCACTTGGTTTTGCTGTTCGATAAGTATGGGTGAAATATTTCCCACAAGTAGTCATTCAGACTTGTAAAGGATTGATTTTGTCTGTCTCTCTGCCCTGTTAGCAAATTTCAGAGCAGTACTGTCTATGGAAATGGTACATTTTAAAGCAACTTCTGGAGAATATTTGTAGAAGGTACATTTTGATTTAGCATCTGCTTTGGAAACTAGGTGCTGAGAGACTCTCATTTGATCTACAGGAAAAAGCCTATGATGCAAGCACCCAATCAGTGAGTCTTTTGAATAGCCAGTGCTTGATGCATACTGCCTACAAATGAGATGCAGATTAAATATTCACAGATATTATTGGACAAATACTTTTCAGTTACAGATTTAAGAGAATAAATCATGGATCTTTAATAGGTTAAAAAGTAAATTGGCCAAGTGGCAAGTCAGCTGTACCAATTAGTATTTGTACCATGTCTTTCTGCTGTATTAGAAATAAGGGCCAGATTATTTCTGGTTGCTACTTTGCTCTAGAGGGGCAAGACCTATCTTCCTACACACAATGACCACAGCTGGCCATACAGAGAGGTAGAGTAAATCACGTGTAGATATTTCTTCAGCTTCCTCCTCGCTGCCAGTGAGTGGAAAGGGGATGAACCTTGGCTCTTTTCTTTGCTTGTGCTGAGTGATGTAGGAGGAACAGGATAATAATCTCTTACTGGGAAGACACGGTAGCTGATTACTTTACCTGGCAGCAGACAGGGAGTTTTGACTCTTTGAAGTGCAGTTCCTTTCCTGGTTTCCCATGATGGTGTTTACAGCCATTCAGTACCTCTTCTGCTAAGCTTGGCCTAAAGTTTGTCCTAGTCCCAGGCCTCTGCTGCTGGCAAGAAATTTTGCTGATTTACACAAGCAGATCACTTGAATGGTGCTATTGATGTTGTTGGACTAATCCATTACCTAACTTTAAGCAAGTATGTAAAACTTTGCAGAACTGGGGACACTGTTTTTATACCCTTGGGGGGCTCAGAATCAGTAGGGGAGAAGGGGAGATTTAATATTTTGAGGATTTTCCATCAGCTTTGTAGCTCGTTTGGTTGGGGTGCGGGGGAACAAATTAGCGTTATCCTTTCGGTTTTTTGCATGTGTTTAAACACTCCCTCTAGAATACCATGACTGAAATTCTTATTATAGAGAAGTAAACTACAGATTGCTTTGAAGGGGGATGGGAGGCAGGACAAGAGATCCAGTGGGCAGATACTTGTGCGGTATGTGGACCAATGTTTACAATTTCTTCACACTGGTATGCACCTCAGAGTTATTTTTTATTGTGATAAGATATGCAAATAGTTCTGGAGCCAGCAGCAGTACTTTCACCTGAATGTTAAAACTGACAGTGATCTTTAAATTGGATTTCAGCAACAACTAGTATTTTAAAGAGCTAGTTCTAAGGTTTGGCCAGCAGAGGAAAACAAGTCTGCGCTTCTTCCACCCCTCCCCTCCCCCAACCCTTTAAATATTTTTCATCTCTTCTCTTTCATCTTTTAAATTTGGAGAAGCAGTTGCAGGCTGACCTGTTTAAGTACTGGGTGTAGCTATGGGCAACAGTGCAGAGGAACTATAAATCTAAATGGAAGTATAAGCAACAGACTGGAATTCAAGTTGAAAGCCATTGCAACTTGACTTGTCATTTCAGGCTGCTCAGAGAAGATGCTTTTGATTTTTTCAGATATCTAGAATTCAGGAGCCCAACATGTTTGTTTGGATGGCTGATACAAATTCCTAATTGCATCTGCTTCCTCCTTTTATTTGTATTTTTAAAAAATCTGATACAGAATTACAGAAGCCTTGATGAATATACTCTCATGATAAAGTGATTGCTCGTTTCTTGAGATTTGGAACAGAACTTCCTGAAAGTTTGGAGATGGTTTGGTTTGCATCTAAGGCTTTTGTTTTGACTTCATATTCAGTGAAGGAGAAAAAGGGTAACTCTGAAGTACAACTTAGGCTCCAAATCCTAGTGTGTGTTCAGCTCTGGAACCCTGGTTCACACCTAGGTCTGCTTCAGATGATGTGAATTCCTCTTCTCTTCCACTCCATCTCTCATCAGATGTCTGTAGATAACAATATCCAGCCCACCTTTATTTTCTTGTTGACTATACTCCCAAATAACTTGATCCTTATGCCCAGTAAATCCTTATGTTCAAAAGACTGAATATATGGATTTCTTTGCTCTAGTCAGCACTATTCTTTGTTTCTGCTTTTTTAAGGTGGAGTCTAAAAGGTAAAACAAAAAGTTTACTGTTGAGCTTGTAATCAGAATGGAAGGACCTTGGATATTAGGAAGAACTTTCTCACAGGGTGATTGAGCACTGGACCAAGCTACCCAGAGAGGTTGAGGAATCTCCATCCTTGGAAGTTTTGAAGAATGAGTTAGACAAACACTTGTTTAGGATGCTTTAGATAAGGATGTTTCTACCTTGAGCAGGGGGTCAGACTAGATGACATGCTGTGGTTCATTCCAGTGCTGCTTTCCTGTAATTATATGACTTACCTAAATGGAATATATCCCATAATATGTGCTCTTGAAGAGATACTTGAGTTATAGCAGCATTCAGGGCCCCCAGTCTTTCTCCCTTTTGAAAAGGGGTTTCTGAAATCCTCAGCATTTTGTCCATGAGCAGATTTAGGCCAGAGTATCCATTACAGAACATTGTTATATTTAATTCTGAGGCATATTTTTGTATTGTGGATACTCCACTCTTCCCCATTCTACATAAAAATCCATAAAGTAAATGAATAATCCACACACAGAATGAAGCCTTTCAGAGAGTTTGTTGAAGAGAGGAATTTGCTTTTTTGGTAAATAGTTTCTTTCAAGGTCATGTTAAATAAACAGCTAAAGCTTGTGTTGGGGAAAAATACAATAAAGCTTTAACTTTAAAAGTTTGTTTCTGCTTAACCTCCAATAATTTGAGAGATACTAAATCACTTGCAAGATAGGGTAGAAAAGATATGAAGCCACAATCCTAAAACAGGGCGTCCAGGTGCTAGTGCTGGCTGGTTGGCACTAGGATAACCAGAGACAACTTTTGTGGTTGGGTACACTGTTCATATATAGCTTTTGTTGTTTGTAACCTCTCTCAGTAAAGAGCTTGCACTAGGCCTTGTACAGTCTCTTGTTTGGCTTTATTTGCTATCTTTCTTGTGTCCCATAGTTTGTTGTAAGCTGCAGGTAAAAGGGCCAAGTGAAAGAGTGTGGCCATCAGGTGTATGATTTTAGCTGGTTAGGAACAGAGGCATCTGCAGCCTATTCTCTCAACAACATGGACACACTGAAGCCATCTGGAGCGTTGGCTCCATAACCACACCTATCCATACTGATAGTTGCCAGCTACCATTAAAGCAATTCACTTGCAGCAGTATAGGGAGTAATTTTAGATAGCTAGTATCAATAACATTGCTATAAATAGTTGGTAAATAATGATTTCAGTATTTATCACATCCTGTAAACAACAAATACGTGATTTGAAAGGGAGGGTTTTCAGCCTGACAGATAGTTCCTCATGCATATAATCCAAGAGTTGAGGAATCAGTTTTTAGTTTTTGCTTTCCTTTCCCCTAACTTGCTTGATTCCAAGCATCCAACCTAGAATTGGCAAGTTTGTCTGATAGGGAGAGGCCATCAGCATTGCTGGCTGAGCTGCAGCTGCACTACCTGCCATGAATAATAGCCCAGTGTGCTAGTTAATCATTACATTGTGACTTTTCCTGTTCCCTCCTAGCTCAGGGTGCATAGGCAACTGTGGTCCAGCTTCCAACACAAAGTTCAGCATTGTGTGGGTATGCTTGTTTTTATTGACATGAATATATATACTCAGCATTTTCCAACATATAGACTGATAAAGCTAACAGAGTAGGGCAAGTCTTCCCTTCTCTCTCTCTCTCTCTCTCTCTCTCATTTTTAAATCAGTGTTGTTTACCCATTTGCCTCTTTTTGCCTCTTGCAAAACCGTTTGATTTCTTCAGCCAAAATTATGGCTCAGTGGTGTGGCTCATCTCTTTGTACCAGAAGAATGGAATTGTGACATGCCAAATGTTGCCTGTTTGTGGATCCATTTGAGGATGAGTTGTCCCCTGAGCTGTGTTGGTTTGCCATGACTGACATCTGGCACTTGGGGGAGGTGGATACAATTCCTGTCCCCATCTATTAGAATTGAAGCCTCTGCAGTTCAGGGGCACTGTTCAGAATGACTTAAGATGCCAATGAAATCTTTGGAATGAGGCAGTGAACCACAACAGTCTTTGCTCACATGCCTATGGTTAAATTGATTGCCAGGCTAGAAGGCAGGAAGTTGTTTACCCTCACAACACTTTATAGTTTTCACGTTTGCGACCATGGGTCCCCTCTCTTATGCTAGG